TCAAATCTGGGTACCAAGTAGAGCGAGTATATCCAGACCGAGGAAGGCCACCGGAATTTTTCGGACCTACGGTCGATGCATTGAAAGCTTTCTGTTGGAAGGTAAGATGTCCTCTGAAGATAAACACTTCTTATGGCAATTGATAACATGATGTATAGCTGTCAAGAAAAATTTGATAGCAAGAGGGCTACAAGGAGATGCATATTGTGCTAGATGTGGTGAGGAGGAGGAATCAGTTATTCATGTGTTTTTTGAATGCCCTCCAGCACGACAAGTCTGGGCATTATCAAAGATTCCCTCCAACCCGGTGATTTTTCCTACATGCTCTCTCTTCACAAATATGGATCACCTATTCTGGCGAGTTGTTCCAAAGATGAAGGATCATCACTTTGCATGGATATTATAGTATCTTTGGAAGGCAAGGAATAGTAAAACATTTAGTACCTTGGATACTGATCCCAGGATACGCTTCCAGTTGCGGAGACAGAGGCAGCCCTTTGGGCGGAGGCCCAACTAATACAACATCGGCAAACACCTTCGCAAGGAGAGATTATGAATCTTCCATCTATACCCGGACGCTGGTGTTTTACGGATGGATCGTGGAAAGAGAAAGAAGCCTTCTCGGGCCAGGGTTGGTATAGTACACTTGAAGGTTTTGCTGGTTTGATGGGGGCACGAAACGTTAGGGCCAGCCTTTCCCCTTTAGATATTGAGCTAGAAGCTTTAATTTGGGCAATGGAAAGTATGAGGAACTTAGATCAATTTCATGTCACTTTTGCAACGGATTGTTCTCAATTGGTGAAGATAGTTTCGGAACCTGATGAGTGGCCAGCTTTTGCAACGTATATGGAAGATATTACGAAGCTTAAAGAGAGTTTCCACAGCTCATAAGTCATCTATGTACCAAAAAGACATAATAAAAAGGCGGATAATCTAGCACGGAGTACCATGAAACAGCCCTATTTTGTTGTTCACATGGATGCAGTTCCACCAGTTTGGATCATAGAGTCAATATGAGTTTGTTATGTTGATGAGAAAAAAAAAGAACCGATTGAAATACTTCAACCAATGTATATATAATGGTTGTAAACTACTTTAATCATAACTAGATTTTGATTCCCACAACCGTGCGAATATATACTTTCATGTTTATATATAAATATTATTTTACGGGTCAAAATATACATTTTTAATGTTACTCACATATTTCAATATTTTTTTTAATTCTTTCAAATACAATAATTTTATAGTTCTTTTTTTTGACAACGAACGGCTGATCTATTACTCAAACTTGAGGTGGTCTAGGAATCCAGACCGGAATAGAACAACCAACATACACCAAATCTCGATAAAAGGATCGAGCAGTCTTAGCTAAGGAATCGGAAAATCCGTTTTGTGCCCTAGGAACATAGAAAATCTTAAAATCTGGAAAGCGAATCCGCAATGTCGTGAGTTTTTCCAGTTCCGTTGAGAAACTAGGCCAATTTTGTGGACTCCTTAATTTTATAGTCTTAATGATGTAAATTCAAATCATCACATATATATGTTTCTTCATATTATATATTTTTATTATTGAATTTGCGTTTGATTATTAAACCAATTTCTTATATATGAATGAACATATTTGAAAATTATTTTGTTTATAATTTATTAAGATCACAACCCGAAATTAAAACGTTAGATTACCAATTTTTTTATATTTCTACATTTTATATAATAAATTACTGTATATAAAAAGTTTAGATAAATTGAATTTTATATATCAATTATATAGTTTACGAATGTTAACCCGTTTAACCAACATATTATATTTTTAGGATAAATGTTTTATATTTATTAACATAAACATATTAACTTAACAATTTCAAAAAACTTTATCATTTTTAGTTTAATATCATGGTTTTCTTTTAAAATGATAAATATTATTATAAAATAGATAAAATATGATATAATTTTATTCTTTTCATTTTATAAAATATAGCTGAATATATATATATATATAATAACATTTCAATATTAATTATAAAATTAGTGAAAATACTTATTTTCAATATTTGAAAATTAAGATAATGTTATAATCATTTTCAACAGATTTTCTAGAATTTATATATACATATATATATATATATATATATATATATATATATATTATTTTTTATAATTAAAATATCATAAGATATTATGATTAAAGTAGTTAAAAGCAAAGTATTAGCATTAAGAATATACATTTAATAAAAAATTAAGTGATGGTCTAAAAAGAAATATCACACATAAAAAAATCATGACTTTTATTTTAGTAGAATAGATATAGATATATATATATATATTCTTAAAACCGTTAAATAAAATATATTTTTTTTTGATAAAAATATTTAAAAAGTTTTAGTAAAATGTATTTTGAAATTAATAAATTTAATTTTTTTATTATGAGTGAATATAATCAAAATTATTTAATTTTAAAAATTAATTTATAAACCAAACCAAAACTAAATTCAATTTTAATTTTAATTTCTAATTATATTTAATGATAATTAAAAATATTTAATATTTCGATATATTTTCATTTTAAATATAAATATCTTTTGTTTAAAATCTAATAAATCTTTTTAAAACATTTTAACAAGATATTAATATTCAAAAATTCTGAGTAAATATTTTAATAATTCGTAATTAGTTTTAAAATATTATTATATATTAATATATTTTAGACAATATAGAATAAAATTTTAACTAAATATGAGAAGTTATATTAAATTATTAAATTTATATAGTTTATTTCCAGATGTATTTATGTTCAAAATATAATATGTTGGTAACAGGGGTTAATATTCGAAAACTATTTAATACATGTAAAAAAATTAACATGTATTTCATTAAAGCTACTAATATAAAATATTTTTAACTATTTTAATCATTATATATTTTTAAATATAAATATATATATATATATATATATATATAATTCTAATAAATCCGTTGAAAACTATTTTAACAATATCTTAACTTTCACGAAGTTTATGTAAATATTTTAACTAATTTTGTAATTAACAATGATCTATTATTATGCATTGGTATATATTCGATTATAATTTATAAAATGAAACATAAAAATTATATTTTAATTTATCTATTATATAATTATCATAATAATTCATGCTAAAATTAAATTATTATATTGAATTACATATGATAAATTATACTTAATTGATAAATTTATAATTTTATTTCCATAAATATAAACTATTTATGCTAAAAAATATGATACAGTGACATAATGACTTAACATTCACAAACTATATAATACATGTACAAAAATTGACATATCTTAGACTTTTCTATATATAAAGATTATATTTTCTAAATGAATAAACGTGAAAATATTGCTAAAAAAATACGAATTTGAAGGTTGGTGGATCAGAATTGGATATAAATTTGATACAAAATAATTTTCAAATACGTTTTTCATGCATATATTAAGTTTTTAATAACTAAATCAAAATACATCAACATAAATATATAATAAAAAGCGACAAACACATTTGATGGTTTTAAAGTATTGATTAATTACACCATGTAAACTATCAAATTATAGTGTTTCAAAAAAAGTGTTTAAAAAAAAACTATAAAATTATTATATTTGAAATAGGTATATCAACATTTAAATATATGGTTAACGTTGAAATTGTATACCACTAGAGAACTGAAATAAATATATACGTTTATAAAACTGAAAAAGAACACTCACGCAGTTGCACGGATCAAGAACTAGTTAATGTTAATCGTCAAACAATCCATATAAAATCTTACAAATAATAATTTTTAGTATCTAATGGTAGAAATTATGGAAATTTTATATAATAATTCATCATTTATTTTTATTCATTATTAGTCTATTTATAAGCCATATGAGAGATATTTTAAAAAATAGTTAATAAAACTAATATACTAGCTTTATTTTTTTATTATAAACCAGTGGTAAAAACAAATTTTACTATATTATATATATATATATATACTTTAATAAGCAAAGACATAATAATAACTATTAATGCATCATAAAGTGAGTTTATAAATTATTTACGTGAGTTTAAAATCAATTTTTGATGATTAATATTTTCTAATGATTTTATAAAAAATATACAATATTTTATATTTATAATAAAATTTATTAAATCATTTATAGGGTTTTGATCATGAATAATGAATATTATATCATTAATGATATTTTATAAAACAATTTATAAGGATTGATAAAAATGTTATGAAGACTTATAAAACTATTTATTAGGAATAATTTCTCATATTCTCTCTAAGAGGTTAGAAAATATCTATGAAAATTAACAGGTTTGTAAATTATTTAAAATTAAAATCCATCAATATGTATTTATAAAAATATTTTATGGAGGTCTGTAATCATTTTTAAAGTTTATACATTATTTATAATAGATACCAAATTATTTTCTTAAGTTATAAAACACCTTATTAGGAATTATTAAACTATTTATAATTAAGCTTCAAAAAAATATTCCTAAAATTTAAAATTGTAAATGTGTTATGATTATTTATATAATTATATAGTTTCCTTTATAAGAGTTTATACAATCAGAATCAATCTCAAAATATTATTTTCTTCACAAGTTCATCATTTTCAAAAATCTCAAAGACAAAAAAAGCGTTTTGATTTTATCTAAAAACAAAATAACCACAAAAGAAATAACACCAGCCGTAAAGTTTAAAAATTGTACATCGGGTAAATAACTAAATGGGCCAAATGTCAGGCGTAATCAGATATGGTGATTTTTCAGGCGTAAAGGACTTATCTGATCTACTGTCAAAGGTTCTGGCATAAAACCGAACTAAACCAAAAAATTCCGACCGAACCAATTTGACGAATAAACGAGGATCTTAAAAGAGGACGGCCGGTATTCACTTCCTCTGTTTATATAATCGAGTCACTCTCTCCGCGTATTCTCTCTGCTCTACTCATTCTTACCAAACCCATGGCCGGAGAAGGGGGAGAACTGACGGTGACTCTGCTTACAAATACGGTGGAGAACGTCGGAGAAAATGATAAGTTGGATATGAAGGAGAAGGTTTGGAGGGAATCTAAGAAGCTGTGGGTTGTGGCGGCGCCGGCCATCTTCACGAGATTCTCTACGTCCGGAGTATCTTTGATAACACAAGCTTTCATTGGCCACCTTGGCCCCACCGAGTTGGCTGCTTACTCCATCACCCTCACCGTTCTCCTCCGTTTCAGTAATGGAATCTTACGCTTCTACTTTCTTGATTCCAACTTTAATATATATATTGATTTTGGTGTTCAAAAAAAAAAATATTTATTTCAAGATTCTCTGATTAGTTTGTTAATGAGAGAATGCTATTATTACATACGTGAATGCTTAGATAGGCTTCTTGTTAGATTGTTTTGGTTTCGTACTTTCTGCCCCTACGAAATGAAATTTCGCTATTCCAAATTATATTTTAGACGGGTTTGAGAAACATTGTTATTCATAGTTGACGTGAGTGTTCGTTTATGTAATTATCTTTTTGGTGTAACTGGTGAAAAATAAAATGAATATATGAAATTGTAGCAATTGTTATTTATAGAATTTAATAGAATGGAATCAACATTCCACTTATTCCAAACATTTTTATTTGGAATTACTTTTCAAATAAAATTGTTTTCTGGAATAATATAGAATGTTATGGAATGAAATTAAATACCTTTTCCATTTTTATTGTAACTGGTTCATATTTATTGGAATGCAAAAGAATGAAGCATTTAGAAAGTTCTTACTCTAAGAAAATGCATTCTAGTTGCACTTTTTCTTTCGAAATTCGGCAGAGAACATTTCATTCCTAACTAGAATTCAATCAGTGAAATAAAATATATATTAAAGTTGGACAATGCAAGAAAACACCTTTAACAAAAAGTGGTAGAACATATTGATTCTATTAAATAGTTTAGAACAAATGAATGGTCAGAAAAATATTTTACAATAGGACGTAATAGCTCGGTTAAAAAGAAAAACGTAATATAATGGCATAGCATTAAATTTAATGCGGGATTCTTCGAGTTCTTACCGAAATATAAGAATTCAGCTCTTAATTTTTAATTAAAAAATTAAAAACATATTTTTAAATAAAATATTTAAAAATCTGTTCTTAGTTTTTATAGTTATTAGTTAAAAGACAGATTCTTATATTCTACTAAAATTCTACTTTAAGAACCCCGTATAAAACATGTTCTTAGCCAATGAAGAAGAAATATTCATTTTTCTAATTTTGTTTTAAAATGTAGTAACGGCTCAGTCTCAAGAAGTGTTACCACTGACAATATTCATTGGCCACAAATGTCCAATGGTGACCTGCCATGGCCACAAAGGTCCAATGGTGACCTGCCAATGCCATCGTTTGTGGGATTCGTAGATTCCCATTTATAATGAGTTAATACTTAAAATACTTAATACAGAACATTATAATATGCTGCACAACAGAGAAGACATTGTGTAGTATCAACGTTTATTACATGTATACCCCACGATTTTAACCATTCATAAATATGAATGGAAGACAAACCGGCGACTGGTTTAATGAAGTAGCAACACATGCTTCCGTTAAATTAATTAACCGCTGAAAATATAAGCGACTCCAACTGTGATATCCATCTCCAATCAAAGATAAACGATGGCATATCAATACATGTGTTTCACATGTATGCTACATAAGTACATATCACGTTTTCACTAGTCTTTAAATCCAGACTGCTCTCTTATATACAAATCTACTAACTCAAACGAATCACAACTTCTATCCAACTAACTTATAAAGAGCAGTAAAAAGAAAAGAAAACGAGTAATTTGGCTTATCCAATGAAAACAATACCAGTCACGTTGTGATCATGTAGCGAAAGCTTCAAGAATTTAAAAATACCTTTCCCAATGTTTTACGAAAATCTCTTCAAAATTCAAAAACTGAATACAAACTTACGTCTACGAAGCTGTATATAGGTTGATGCTTACCATCCACGTAAACATTATCACGTCATCAACCTATACAGTTCATATGTATAGAGTCATCATCTTTGTAGCTATATCGTATTTGTATTTTGGGAAAATTGCCAAATATAACTCAAAACTTGATTTGAAATGCAAAAGTAAACCCAAACTTGAATCAAATGCAAAAGTAACTTAAAAAGCTGTTGAAATTACAACCAACCCTTTGTGAACAAACAAAAAAAGAGTTTTTTTTTTACGTTTCTAACCCTCGCAAGTCGTCTGCCCAGACGACTTAATTGAAAGTCGTCTGGGACAGTTTTTCTTAAAAATAATTTAAAAATTGTGTAATAAATATCTTGATAAATAAAAAATTGGGATTCTGTAATTAACATATGTCTTAAGCGATAAAAATTAAGATATAAAAAAGTCAGTTGTTTTCAGCATAGATGAGTGAAAGTAGTGAGTGATGATATTCTTTAGTTTAGGTTTCACCAACATATGTTGTAGTATTGTATGTGTTTCTTAGGGTTAGAAATTCGAAAGCATAAATGTTTTTTTGAAAACTTTAAAATTTACCTAAGTGTGTTTATTTCTGTGTATAGTAAACNTCACCAACATATGTTGTAGTATTGTATGTGTTTCTTAGGGTTAGAAATTCGAAAGCATAAATGTTTTTTTGAAAACTTTAAAATTTACCTAAGTGTGTTTATTTCTGTGTATAGTAAACAATATTTAAGTATAATTTGATTTTATAACATGGTTAGTAGTTAATTTAGTCAATTTAGTTTAGGGTTTAGGGTTTAGGGTTTAGGGTCTGGACGACTTATAATTAAGTCGTCTGGTAAATATATTTAATAAGGCAGACGACTTAGTCGGATGTATAGTATCAACAGACGACTTAATAATAAGTCATCCAAACCGGATTTTACCAAATTACTTTTTAACCTAACCGGTTTTTTGACCGGACATATATAAGAAGATTTTTGTTTTTTACGCACTTTTCGCGAAATTCAGAAAACCCTAACGCCGTTTCTCTCAAAGGTGATTTCGAGGCGATTTCGCTCCGATACAAGACCAAGGTAAATCGAAGGCTTCTCTTGCAGATTTATGGGTTTTTATTAGGATGGATGTTGTTTTCCTTAATTTTTACCGTTTGGTTTTGTGTTTTCAACGATTTGGGGTAATTTTGGTTTCAAATTAGGGTTTCAAAAATTGGGGATTTCAATCGACTTGTTGTTTAGTTAGGTTGGATGTTGTTTTCCTCTCATTTTACGGTCATTTTAGGGTCGTCCACCTGGAAGTTCTACTAGAAGTCTACCAGGTGGACGACCCAGACGACTTAGAATTAAAATGTTTCCAATTCGTTTCTTGTTTGCAGATGGCGAATCAGCATGAACCTCACTTCTTGAAGCCTCTGCTTCCTGGTTTCTATAGTGGCGTGGTATACACACGGTCTCTATTTCTCCTCTATTTATTTCCTTTGCTTATCTTCTCCTTTGTTGACTTGTAGACAATACTACTTGCCTTCTACGCAAAACACATAGAAGGCACGCCGAACCAAGGAAAATGGACACTACGATCGGACGCTTCACACCAAACTTGGGAAGTTATACAAGAAGGAAGAAGACTCACCGATGGTTGGGAAGCCTTCGCCCAAGCACACTCCCTTTGCATCGGTGACATTCTCGTGTTCAAAAAGGAAGGAGACATGGTATTT